TAAAGACGTAGCTCCCTGCGCCTTACATATTGCTGGTGGGGATGCAAAATGGAACAGGCACTCTGAAAAGCAGTCTGTCAACTTCTTATAAAGTTCAATACACATCTACTCTATTAACCCAAAATTCCACTCATAGGATTCACCCAAGAGATATGAAAACGAAGGCACCAAAAGGAAAGCATATATGCAAAAATTTTACAGCAACTTTATTCATGATAGTCCCCTACTGGCAATAATCCAAATGCCTATTAACAGTTGAGTGGACAAATAGCAGTATTTCCAGATAATGAGCATACTTCTATGTACTTGGCAATAAAAAGGAAGGACTACTTGTACATGCAACAATTTCTGTTTATCTCAAAGACATTGTGGTGAGCAAAAGAAGTCAGGCACAAAAGAGGACATACTGTCTGATTCCATTAAGATAAAAATTCAGGAACAGCAGAACTAATCTATAGGGAGGGGGAAATGAGCAGAGGTGTCTAAGGCAAGGCTAGGGTTTGGGAGGAGGGCTGACTGCAAAGGGGCACAAGGGATGATGATGGGTGATGGAAATGTGCTGAATTTTGACTGTGGTGGTGGTTACATGAGTGTATACATTTGGCAAAATACACCACACTGTACACTTAAAATGAGTATATTTTATTGTTTGTAAAATATATCTCAGTAAAACTGGTTTTAAAAGAAAAAAAATTTCAAGAGAAGCATTGTTGTATAGCAATAAAAGAAACTGGAATCTAAACATCGAATAAAATGGATGATAAATCATCATATATTCACTAAGTGGAAAACTAAATAGCAGTAAAAATGAATGAATCAGATTGAGCACACACATTAGTATAGACAAAGCTCAAAAACATAAGATTGAGTAGAAAAAAAGCAGATTCCAGAAGAATAATTGCTATGATGCTATTTATTTAAAATATAATCACATGTAAAACAATTCCATACATTGTTCAAATATCCATACCTATCTGATAAATCCATCAATAAAAGCAAGGGAATGATAAACACCACATTAAGGGTTATGGGACCAGGCAGGCAGGGAGGAGTACAGAGGATGGGGCGGGGTGCTTCAATTGGGACTGATCACATTTTTATTTCTTAAACTTGAGCGGAGAGTTCATGGGTGGTCCTTGTATTATACTTTATGTTGTTTGCGTTTTTTAAAGATTTCATAGGAAAACAAGCAAACAGCAAACTAATGAAAATCTAAACAAAAAGATGACCACCTAGAGTTGGGGGAGAGCCTGGATGGTATCAGAAGATCTGAGCCTTGGTCCAATTTGCTCCTGGATTTGATGTTCCATCGTAGCAAAGTCACTTCTCTCAGAAAGAGATGCGAGAGCCTCATTGTGGAAGAGAAGGGGAAGAATCCGTCCTGGGTATCAAGGGAGAGGCCATGAGAGGAACTGGCACTTAAAAGGACTCAGTTTTAGTGAGGTCAGTGTCCTTTCTTTGCTTCTGCGGTGAACTGCAGGCTGGCACTGAAGCCCGGTCCAGGATGGGGGGAGCCATCGGGAAAGGAGGTCGGAGTGGCACAGCTGGGGGCAGTAGGCAAGGGGAGAAGGGCTGCTCCACGGTGCCCAGAGTCCAGAGTCTGGGGGCAGACCATCTGGGGCAGTTCCAGGGAGTGGAACTGAGTCCTCAACCCCAGGTTGTGCCCAGGGTTCTCAGTCACCCTGAGTGGAGCTGCACGGCCCACCACAGTGAGGGGCATTTCTTTCTTGACCCCTGAGGACCAGATTCCTGGAGCAAGCCTGCAGAGATTCAGAGCGCATTGTTTTGAGAGCCATGCAGAAGAGGCTTCCAGTTACTGTGGCTCCCAGGTGCCAGGCTTCCTGCTCTTCCATCTGGAGTAATCTTAACTACTGCCCTGAGGCAGAGAGGAAAAGTGACCAGCCTACAGCCACACCACAGGTGACTGGAACTTATTA